AATGTGAAAATACTACATTATCTGGAATATATCTCAACCTTCTCATTCAAAAATCCCATTTGTTGGGAAAATTAAAWGACAGTGAGATCCCTGTTAATGCTAAACTACCAGTCAGTATTCAGAGAAACAATATTTACCACACTGTTACTTTTGTGTAAAGGGATAATTCTGTTAAAGTTGCTCAGTGAAAGATAAAAAATTAAAAACTTGCTTTCATAAACTAAGGAGATGGCAGTGAACTGAGATTTTAAAAGCCAGTAACCTTGAATCAAAATTAACAGCTTTGGTGCATGTGGAAGCCACACTTGCAGCATTCTGTGCAGTGCACCAGGAATCAGTGTCATGGGATTACTAAGCAGGATGTGTCTATTCACAGTTGTTCTTTGCCATCCTGTTGCTTTGTTCTTTTTGACCRTTTGTTCCTGTAAAACAGTAGAAAGCTACTTGCCTCCAAAAACCATTATCAGTCCTAACAAATGCCAACACAGAATTCTTTCCCATATGCACACATTTACTTTTACTTTTTTTAGCTGTCTCCATGCTGCTTGCAATTAGTTACCCACTCACAATTCCCATGGACTTTGTCAGAAGTTCTGCATGTGAAGTAATTATAGACTTTGTTTTTCTGAAAGCAAATTGWTTCTCAGGTTATCTGCTTTTGAAAGTGTATGGCTGGCTTGGTTGCATGTTTTGTAAGGATTTCAAGCACATTTCAAAGTCACTRACACTGCAAATTTCACCTTTCTTTAAGCTTTTACAATATTTTTGTCTCTTCGGTCACAGCACTATCAGGTGATCAGCTATTCACATGCTGTTTAAATTATATTTTATTCTGTGATACAAACTGTAACTTGCAGCTTTGTTGCAATGCCTATAATTCCACTAAACAGCAAATTTCATTCATACTTGGCTGTACTGAGAAATGGGTGCATATTTCATCTTCCCGATTTATGCTTGGCCTGGAAAAAYAGAGTGGGATTCAGTCAGAGTTATTGTATTTTCCTCTTTCATAAGCACTTATTTAATCATTTGAAGAAATGTACAGTTGGTGCTCAAAGTAACATTTGTTAAGATATATTTAATAGAAATTTACATTTGCATTTGATATTCATGGACATGGGTACATGTATTTTTTTAAGAAAAGGTATTGTAACACTATGGCACTGCTTTTATAGCCAAAGTATAAAAAAAAATTAGAAAACTGACATGTAAAGACTGCAGTTAATTCTGATACTGTATCTTATTAAATAGGATGAGTTTTGTTTTATAAAGTTATCCAGCACATTAAGCTGCATGCCTTAAGCTCTCTCTAGGATTGTGTTCCTGATAGGCAACTCTTTGGAACTATGAAGCAAAGTCTGTAGTACTACTTTAACTACCTTCTGGAATACTGTACAATGGTAGAATAATTTATTTTGCTTTACAGGAGTTTGTCACGTATTGACTTTAATATTGTATTTTGGTAATAAACTTTTTTTTGTTAAATGCTTTAGTCACTTTTATTTGGCTTCTATGAAATATGAATATGGAAAATCCAGACACTCAAAYAGTGTTTAGAGAGGGGGAGATCTGTTTAAGTCCAAAAGTATTTGCAATAATTTACTGCCATTTCTTACTCCTGTGTGAAATTATTAGTWTTAGTTGTTATTATTAGTTTTAATACTGCTAATACAAGTTTTATCAAAGTAACTGTGGTGAAGAAATATGAAACCATTAAGTCAAAATATTTGTAAGYGTGCACACAGTTAGGATGGCACAATGCTGAAGGAAAGAACTGCAAAATCAAAATTCCTAATGAAACTAGTAAGAATTTTCCCCCTAATTTATATAAGAGTGAAAGCCTTAAAGAGTTTTGTTGGTTTTTTTCCAGGTGATTGACTTTTGCTTTTCCATCATATAAGCTAAAAAAATACCTTGAAACCTATTTTTAAATACACATCATYTTTCTGGGCCTTGCTGGGGCTTTTCTTCCCATCTTTGTCAGGAAAAATAGTTGCTGTTGCTGGGGAGAAAATACGGCCAGAATACCCACTGCTGGTATCAGCATGATTTACAGTTACATAAACAAGCAATCTTTTGCCATTTTCTTGTTATTATTAGGGCCYTGGGCCAAATATGTTGAAATAAAAGCTGGAACTACAAATGGGTTTAGATGCAATACTACAGAATGCTGTGTCATGCAGCTTTTTCACATTTTCTCTAATGCAAAACTTGGGGGAAAAAAAGGTCTCTGTAGTAAGATATGGCATCCAGGTATTATCCTGTTCACTGGGCTAAAATACCTTYCTCACTTCAGCTGAATAAAGCACAAGAGCTTCATCAGAAGTTCCCCTGCACCCCCATAAATGACCTGGTCATTGTGATCAGCAACAGGACTGGACACAGGGCGGGAGAGAGCAGCACTGATGGGTCCTTTGAGGATTGCACCAGCTCTGGGAATTGGGAGAAAAGCAGCGAGAGCCCTGCTACTCATCAGTGGGAGTTAATCAATGTATCTTTGACAACAGTTTAGGGCTGGAATTGCTGCAGAAATTTAGTGCACCACAGTGAGCTTTTGTTTTGCATCCCTTGTAGGCATGTCTGGGAAAGAACAGTCACACTGAGCCATTCCCAGGGAGACACCATTAAAACTGACCTGACCTAATATTAGCTAGGTAATGAAATTCACAGGTGGTAAAACCAAGGTTCTTTTGGCCAAAAGCAAAAAAAAACTTTTGAACCCTGACAAACTAAAAGTTGAGAAAAGAGAGAGCCCGGAAATTTAGTGTGCTTCCCACACAGCACATGGCTGGTGAAAAGCAACTCAAAACACTGCAGGTTTAAACTTAACATTTACTGGGGCAGAACTTGTCCTCCTCCTTTTCTAGTTCAAGGTAGCTCTTTCTACAGTACTGAATGTGACAGTCCAAGAGAAAATGTAAATAAATTTAATTTAAAGTTTCGTCCAACCATTTTCTGTACACAATAGTTTGGCATTTGCTGGGATTATGGGTAACTTGGTMCTAACAAAGATTTCACTACTTCGATCTAGTTGGAACACAATGAGCAAATAGAATATTGTTAMATATCCATTTTTTTTTAATTTTGGCAAGTAAAAAGCCATCATTGCAACAGTATTATAACAATACAGTAATGATAAAATAATCAGTATTACTGATAGCTTGCTACAGTTTGGTGAATTTTAATTTACATTTTATAACATAATTTTCAACTATTAACAGCAGTCTGGAAGCTCTTTAGTTTTTCTRTATTCTCACAACTTGAAACATTAAATTTCTATCAACGACATGTTGCCTAAATAATACATTGTTTCAGTGAAAATATGTTAAATAGTAACTCAATTCTTCCTAGTGCTGTACTTAAACACTTACTCCAACAGGAAATTACTTRTTAAAATATACAGAATTGAGGAAAAATGCATTTTTTAATTTCCACTACTATCTAATAAATCCATTACACCCATGCACAGCGTCAAATCACAGGAGAATTAAGTCCACTGCTCCCTTCTCAGAGATTTCTAAAGCTCTTCACCGATTTTTTTCTGAACCATTTCTGTAATTTCTTGTTCTGTGTAGAAGGCATTGGCCTCTTTACAGGTAGTAGATAAGCAGAMATTTTGTTCCAGGAAACACCTTCCACAGCATCCCCTTTCTTAGAAATTTAAGTACATTATSTGCTTTAAAAAAGAACCTACACACAGTCAAGGTGTTTGTTTACATTGTAAAATAGCTTGTATGTGTACAACGTATTCATTTTAACAAACACATGGCATCTTGGATGTGGCAGTGAGAAAAAGAAGGTGAATCTAATGCCCATGCTAAGGTCCATAATTATTTAGTTTTCATTCTTAGTTTAAGCATTGCCCACAAAGATATGACCTGCCTTATTGCTCAAAAGAAAAAAACCAAAAACCAAGTATGGCTGTAAATTGACTTACTGTAGAAATGTTTAACTATTKGAGGGCTTAATCAGATGAAGTAAGATAATTCTAAAAAATAATTACAAAACATTCTAAGCATGCAGAACATATACTGCAATATCAGAAAAAATTCCTGATTTCTATTGTCAGTGGTTTCAAAGTTCAGAATGACCAGGGTGATTACTACTTACAGTTTTCTTGGTGTCTCTGAACATGCTTTCCATGAATTTCATGGCTCTTCCTGCTCAAAATACTGACTTTTTCAACGAACCAAGGTTGTGGAATGATAAGGAGAAAAAAAAAAAAAATATAAAAAAAAATAATAAGAAAAGTATTGCTGTAGTGTAAAATTGTGATGGAAAACCAACTAAATATTGTCCTGAAGAAGTGAACTCTATCTCTGTATTCCCCGGAATTTGCATGGATTATTGGGAAATCAGCTTTYTGTGATAGTGCCTGGAGTCAGTTTGTTGGTTATGGCTTCACGGGGCATGGTTTTTTCTACTATAACTAAAGACAGCACAAATAAAACTTACAATAAAGACTTATTGCAAGGGTAGGTTGTACCCATTAAATAGAACAAAGTCTRGTATTGCCGTTATCTCCCAGCTACAAAAGGTCTTTCCCCCCTTTAAACGTTTATGGTGCAGTTAAGCGAGAAATACAATAGAGCTTATAATGAGTTGAACAGAAGACGCAGCTCTAATTTAAATTTTAAAATCACAAATATATAGTACTATATCGGGGGGGCGGAGAGGAATACATTAAAAAAACCCCACTACGAATGGGTAGTGTTTTAGCAGGGCACTGTTTTAGCAGARCATCGTCCCCGCCGCTGAAGCCCTGACGGGGAGCGGCCCCACGGCCCCGTTGCCAGGCAGGGATGGATGGATCCAAACCCTCCCCGACTGTCGATGTGCCGGATTTCCGCCGCACGCCCGCCCTGGGGAATTCAAACGGGCGATGGCAGCGCAGTCGGGGCGGGGGCCGGGCCTGTGACGGGCGGCTGTGCCCGCCCCGGCTCCCGGTCCCCGCCCGGCAGGGCCGAGCACCCGGCGCCGCGCCCGCCCCTTCCCCTTCCCTTCCCCGCTCCCTGTCCCTGTCCCTGTCCCTGTCCCTGTCCCTGTCCCTGTCCGCGGCGGGGCCCGGGTGCTCCCTCAGCAGCGCCGGCAGCAGCGGCCGCGACCCGCCGAGCGCCCGCAGGTACCGGGGGAGGCGGGGGAGCCGCGGCGGGGCCGCGCAGGCCTTGGGGAGCCTTGGGGAGCCTTGGGGAGCCTTGGGGAGCCTTGGGGAGCCTCGGGGAGCCTCGGGGAGCCCCGGGCCCGGCCCTGCCCCGGCCCTGCCCCGGGCCCGGCTCTGAGGGGATGGGATGGGATGGGATGGGCTGGGACCGCCCGCCCGCCACAGCCGAGCCCCGCGGCACCGCCGTGTGGGGAACCAGCGGGGTGGGCACGGGCATCTCGCCTTTGTTAATAATTGCCAGGTGTRCTACAAACAGCCCTTCACACCGCGGGTTTCCCCAGGTGTGTGGGGAGGAGGCGAAGCTGATCCGCTGCAAAGCTCTAACAAAGTTGTGTGGCTGAGGCGCGTTGCCTGCGGCGGTGCCACCGGTGGCAGCAGCGGGAGCAGCTGTTGCTCGCTGGGCACGGAGCGGTTTGTGGGGTGTCGGTGATCCCAGGGGGACAGCTCTGAGCATGGACCCTGCTCACGGAGCTGACAGCGCCTGCGGATGGACAGGGCAATGGCTGCTGGGCTTCTTGTCTTGTGATGCTCTCAAATTCTGTGCTCTAGAAAACATCAAATATCTTTTTAACACGGTCTCTAGTTTTTTGGGGGTTTTTTTTTATAAGATGTGTTACCGGGCATCATTTTTGTGTCTTTCGGCCCCCTTTTTCGCCAAAAAGCCAGGATTTAAATGACTGGCTTTGTATTTTAGGCACCCGACTAAAATACACTGAAAAGACTAGTATTTCTTTGAAGGGCTTAGAYTTTTTCAAAAAGGGAAGCCTGGTGTGTGTTTTGAGTCAAGTGCTAAAAATAATAAATCATTCTGAAAACCTGGTGAAGAGTATGTGAAATGGGKAACTTTATAAATTTTRTAAATTTAAGATAATGTTTTCTATACTTTCATTTGCTCTCTGAGTGGTACATATTTAAAGAGAAACCWTGTATTTTGGTAACATAGACCTTAGGTACAGTAGAGTTCTATAAGTCAAAGTCTGCGATGTCAGTAAGATGTGGTTTTATTTTCACATATTTCATACAGTATCAAGTGACTGTTTGGGTAGGAAGATGCATTGCTTGTGTGTGTCCATTTAGGAGTCAGGCTGAAGAATAATGAATTAAAGTGACTGACATCATGACAACGGTAAGACAGAGAAGGGTTGGAAAAGGCACAGAAGCTGCTGAAGATCAGCCTTCAGAGGAGACAAATGTGAAACCTGATGGGAAAATTCCTTCTGGTGGGTAATGACAAGAAATGTAACATTATGGTTTTTGAGCAGCGTGTAGCTTTTGATGTATCTCACAACTAGATATGTAACAATTGCATTTCCATGCTTGAATATCATCAAAAATTAATTGGATTAAACAGAGAGTTTAATGCAGACTGCTGCATGTCTGTCTTATCTCTGTTTTAAAATCCCGATTTAAATTGGTGAGAACAATTTTTTCARTTTATTATCAGTGACACACTATCAGATTGTACGTAAATTCCTGAAAGAATTGCGGTCCCAATCACTGATAACATAAAAGGATTGGAAGACAACTGATGAGAACTACTTAAATATAGGCAGGTTGCACATAAAACCTAATTTTTTTTATTTAAATCTAAATTTAATATAAAATCTAATCTTCTTAATTTATAGGACACTAGTTAGGTAAATTTAAAAGAGAAACATTAAGTGTCATGATTCCAGGATCTGTTTAAGCAGTGAAATTCTGACAACATTTTTGTATGGAATTACAGCTTTAGAACTGACAAAAGTAATTTTTTGGGGGAGAATTTTTAGATTCACTTACTTTAAGGGATGTTTTGATGTAAACTCTAAATGTTTCTCTCCATTTGGGCAGATGAAAGGGAGGTTACTGTTGGGCTACATACAAAAAGGGAAAGTGATCATAGTTCCCCTGCAGGCCAGCCATCAGTTCCATGGGATTGCATGGTTGGAACCCTTAAGTAGATGTCACACACAGTATAAAACAGCCATTTAAAAGATTCAATTCCAGATTGCTAATCCATATTAAACCTGACATCAACATTAAAAATACAAATAAAAACCCCAATAAACTCAAACCCCAGGAATGTCAGTGTACAGTGAAGGAGGTGCCTAGAAACGCATCCTGTCTTTGCCATCATCCCATCCCTGATCTTGCTCCAATGTCAGCAGGAGGCCATCTGCAATTCAAAGCATGACACCATTATCAAAGGCTGCTTTGGCTGCTGCTCAGTCCCTTTGTGGGTATTTGTGAGTCTTCTGAACCTTCACTGTTGTTTTTTACAAAAACTGAGCAAACTGGCCCCCCCCCCAAAAAAAAAAAAGCAGCCTTTTTTAGACCTGTGAAGGAGATGTGAATTTCTTAGTTTGTGATCAGTCATCCTGTATTGCTTAAATTATGAAAGTTCTGGACGATATTCAAAAAATTAGTTATGGCATTGAGCTAAACTTATATAAGACCATGGTGTTCTTAAAGCATACCAATTAAGACACCCTTTATTACACTTTATATGGAAATTAAATACWTTTATTTTCCTATATGAGACAATAAAAACCTCATCTCTTTAAAGATGAGTTAAAACTAGGTGTCCTGTTACCTGCAGAATGTAAACTGTACTGGCATAGACAATGTATAAATGGCTTTCCAAAATTCCTATAGGTTCAATTATGTGTTTCACAATTACAGACTGAAATATTTTTCTTCCAAGATCGTACAGGTGCAAGGGTGTGGAATATACTCTCAGTAACTGTTGGTGGAATTGCTGCCATCTCCTTTGGACTTCTTACATCTGTTTATGTGGCTACACTGCATGAAAATGACCTGTGGTTTTCCAATATCAAGGTAACAGTCATTTTCCTAATTCCGTCAGTGCTTTTGTGGAGCATTAATAAGAACATTAGTTGAAATTTTATTTATTTATGTATATGTCTTGTAACCTGGTCAAAACCAGAATATTTCACTTTTAAAAATTCAATTTAAAAAAAGCTGTGCTTCCCTTTCCACCATATTTCATCAGTTCTATAAATACCTGTCCCCAATTTTTTCTCTAAAAATATTGCTAGAGAGCTCCTGTCTGAGTTGCAGCTATGGTTCTTCCAAAAATTGATCTATATCTACCATAGAATTTCAGCATTTTACTATATGATTTGCTGTAATCATCTTCCTTTTATCCAAAGCAATTTAAAATTAAAAGAACAGTTAAAAGAAATATTATGCAAAATCCTGTCACACAGTTCTTCAATTGTATTTATACTGTGACATTGTTATACAATTTAGGGAATCTCTTAGTATTTAATACTAATTTTATATAATGTCATCCTAAATATGCAAACCTCAGAACATATTTCAGCTATTCACTAATGTAAACCCAGCCATTCCCAAGATCCAGGGCTGACTAGTTTTTTCCTGGAGTAATTGCAGAGAAAATAATGCAGCTGTACCCACAGCTAAATTTAACCAGAGAAAAGAACAGGTGAGTCATTTTCCTTTCAAATGCCTAAATTCATTCTGCTAGGTCTGTGTATTGTGTTCAAAGAGTACATTTATTTAACTGGAGTACTTGCTTTGCAGTCTGTCTTTTCTATGCCATACACTTTTTGTGTCCCAGAAAATTTATCTTCACCTAATAAAAATAATTTGCGTTTAGTAAAACAACTGCTGTTGTATTATACATAGAAAACTGTTGTGCCCACGCTAATCTGTCCTTGATTATATAAATAGATTTTACACAATATTGAAGGTACACCTTGGGTTTGCCTTCTCCTTCCAAAAGCAAGGAGTGAATAATTTCAAGGTGTTGTATATTTTGAAGTCCAAGCAGGCATGGGSTTGTGGCAATGTATGAAAATAATGGACACAGCTTTTTAATTCTGTCAGACTGACCCAGCAGAGCACARAGTTTACTGAGAGAAGCAATTCTGTGGTTGTGATGAAGTTGTCCCCTCAAYAGAKGAAATGCTCATTTTATGTGATAATYATTATTCTCATTTTAAGTACACTAGAACATCATTAGATATCAAAACTGTAATAAAGCCCTCTAGTTGTTTTTAGTCTGGATTCTGATGTCTCTGTAGTTTTCATTTTATCCCATGGAGTTGATTGATAACTAATATTGGAACAAGAGCAATTTCAGCCAATTTGATGGAAAAATTCTAAAAAGCATTAAGTTCATCTACCAGCAGGTTGAAGGAGAAAGAACTGCAGATGCTTTCTGGTCTCACTGTGTCCCTTCTTCAGTGGTACATGAACTCCACCAGCGAGTGCATGTGGCTGCAGTGCTAATTTTAAACAAAATACTGGCTTAGGAGTAATATGCAAAGAGCAGACTATATATGAAGAGTCTGAAATACCCTGCAAAGCTCAGACAGGAAGGCTCATCCCAGTATCTGTAAAACAATACGTGGAGGTCTCTGTGCCTCTGTGTAGGATTGTGATCTCTCTAAGTGTATGTACATGTTTTCCAGCACTTCTGATGTGGCTAATCTTCTCATTACAGCACATTGTATGTACTAAGAAAGRCATGACCCTCAAAAATTGCATGGAAAACAAGTGGAAAATTTGCTTTTTTCTGTAAYATTTTATAGTTTGGCCAAAGCATATATTTTTGCATKTATTAACTGAACTTTTAAAAAGTAGATCTGCAGTATTTTTCTGMCACTTTTGCACCAGGCARATGTTTGTACCTGCACCTCTTAGGTGCAAAAGGTGAGATTTTTGTTCTGAAGGCCCTACTGATATGTGAACACCACAGTTGCATATTAAAAAAATTAYGCAGTTGTACTCAACCCTAAAAATTGGAAGTAAAAAGAGTTCATTATGCCAAGTCATGATTCTAATTCCAAAATAATTGAASTCAGAACTTGCACACACACTTGCAGTGATTGCCTTTCTACAATTTCAATTGCAATTCATCGAAAGCCAGTTCAGTTTTGGGTGTCTTCCAGCAATGGTTCACCCAACTAGAAAAACTGTTTGGTCGTTGTTAAACTGTTTTGYTGTATTTTGAATATGGCTTTCAACAGTGCATTGATTTCAGCTGCTGCTCTGTGTGTGAGTCTTGTTCTTGTTTGTGAGTAAATGTGCCTGCTATTATCAATTTGCCATGGTCACAGGAGAAAGATGTACAATTGTTTTCTTACCAGAAAAACTGAAAAAGCACATCTTGAAGAGTGGTTTATGCAATGAAGGAGGTACAATTGTTTCTTTTTTTTTTTTTTTTTTAATTTCAAGGCTTTATGAAAGAATGACAAAAATAAATAAACAGAAAAGAATGCAGCAAGCCATGTCTCCTAGTCAGAGGCTGTGTTAGTGTCCCCTTCCAGCAGGGATAGTAGGTTATAATCACTTACCTTGATCATGGGTTGTAATCACTTATCTTGATCAAATAATTTTGAAGAAAAAAGTTTGAATCCCTTCTCATATATATTAAACCAACAAACATTTCTGTTTGTGATGGTGAAAGTCAAAACAGTTTTCTTATCCAAAAATCCTTTCTCAGTTTTGTTAAATGTTCTGGCATAACAAGTCTGAAATGGCTTATCTGTTTCCAGTGATTTTCAATAGCAGTTTGGTGGCTGCCCCTCCAGTGTAGYATCTTTTGAGAACAGAATCTGCTGTGAAAATACCAAAAGCAGGGGGGGAGGGGGCACCTTTCCTGTCAGCCATTGAATTGCTTGTTCAACTGCAAATTCTGAAGAAACTTTGAACAGGCATGAGCCAAGGCCATGTAACAAATAAATGCTGTAAGAAAAGCAKATACACTTCAGAGTATTCATTTCTTCTTCACCCCTTCTGAGTAAGCATTTAGATACTGTTACTGATTTTTCTTCTTAAAAAATTGCTGCTTGCAAGAAGTCAGGAACAAAAATACGAGACTGTAAGTCTTTCAGGAKAAGAATGCTGGGATTTAATCTCCGAATAACTCATATTTTCCCTTTTTGCATTTGGAATACAAACCAAAGATTGCTGCCCAGAGAAGCTGTGGCTGCCCCRTCCCTGGAAGTGTTCAAAGCCAGGCTGGATGGGGACTTGGGCTGGGATAGWGGAAGGTGTCCCTGCCCGTGCAGGGGTGGAACCAGAGGATCTTTAAGGTCCCTTCCAACCCCAATGATTCTATGAAGAAAAGCAGGGAAACAGGTAGTGAGAAGTGCACAAAGTGAATGCTGAGGGATGAAGGTCCAAGACTTTGGTAGTACATTTCTTTCCACAGAAGTGCCTGTTGAGGTGTTAACAGGTGCTTTTACTCTGGATCATAAATCTGATCTGGAACATGCCATTCAAACAGTTGGGTTTGAGGTTAACCAGCCAGGAGAACGTGTCCAAGGATTAAATACATTTGCTAAAGGCTTRTTCTCAGCTGGGAACATTGACAGCAGCTGTGTTGAGTTTCCAACTGAACACTTGAGAAAATTTTCAAATCTTCTTGGTCTTAAATTGAAAAACTAATACATAGTTTCAGTTACACAGATTTTGTTTTAGCTATGTCAAAAAAAGGAATGTAATTGGAGCTTTATTTATGCTCATAATTTATAGAAAAACTYAACTCAGACTTTGGCTGCTTGCTCAGCGATCTGGAGGACTTGCTTAAGGAATACTAAGCTCTAGAATTTTGCATTGCCCTTGAGAAAAAGTCCTTTGTATTTGGTTGTGAATGCTTAATATTATTAGGATACAATTGCATAAATTGAAATATAATGCAGCTCTCTGTGTATCCCAGAGGACRGCATTCTCTTTTTTCGCTTGGAACAGTGATAACTTCTTTGTTAAAACCTCACAAAGTGAATATACAGACAGATAAGCATGTGCTCTGACAATGCTTACCCATAAGTCTGTATGTTTTTATTGACATGGAATGCTAGGAAAAGTATAAATTGCTGTAGAACTGGAAAAGTATTTTGAGTGAATAAAACAGATGTTATCTTAGCATGAAACAGATGTAAAACTCACTAGTGTTTGTCTCATAAAGTATAGCATTTGGTTGAATACAGCTGGTGCCAGGATTACAAATTAATCATGTTTGAATTCATTTTTGCTAATTAGATCCCCCTCTGTGACTCCTCTCTCCCCCTTAATAAATTCCAAATGTTAACATTCCTTTTTTTTTTCTTTTTTTTTTAAATGAGCATTTAAGAGTCAGCCACTTTTTGGTATTAGAAGAACTTTCAGTAGTGTTGAAACTAGAGGTTGTTCAAAATCCAGCATTCTCATTTTGCTAAGTGTGTGACTTTTGGTATGATGATGATGATTTTTAGGTCGTAGGGCAGCTGGAGAGTTTAATTGTGAACTTAGATTGAATCACTTGTGGTTTTATCTATTGACTTTTCTCAGGCCACAACTAATAYTGCTGTGTCAACAGTTGACTTCAATAAAACAGGTGTTTTGAGATAAGATGCTATATTGGTCAGTGGAGAAGAGAGGAACATGATTTTTTTTCTAGCTTTATGTTAGCTCTGAAATAGAATTGATTGTGCTCCAGCAAGAGAATTGGGACTGTATAAGACAGATGAAAGTCTTGGGATTCTGTGCAAGGTTGCATTAACCAGAAAGGCATTCATAAAAGTCTCTGAAAAAGTAACATTCTGTTATTTCAGTAATGTTCTTTTGTGAAGAAAGAGGTTACGTTTAGAAATCACTTTTTTTTTTTTATTGACTTGGACATATCACATTCACATCACAATCACATTCAGGGATTTCACTGGATTTTCAAATCTCAGTATAAACTTTTTATAACAAATASCTTTTCTAACTTACTGCTCATGTATTTGCTGTGATGTTTTTATAGAAACTACCAAAAAGATCACTAATAATAGAACAATTCTATATGAGATGTCTGTTCTCTTCAGATTGGTGGTTAATGCAGTCTTGTTCAAATGTGGCTGCCCCAAGCTGTGGATTCCTTAATTTTCATTAGGTCTTCACAACTARTGAGATAACAAGAGGAAGTGCAGTCCAAAGTGAAGAGCTTTCAGATCTCACTAGACTCCATCTGCTGCAATGTCAGCCAAGAAAAAAGTAAAGTTTCAAACGTACTGGTTTGAAGTGTACCTAGTTTAAATAATTTGATCATCTTTAAATTAGAAATAAGAAGTTCAYCTAGCCCTAAAGTCAAGTAAAGGAGTCCCTTTTCCTTTCACCTGTAATTTAAGAATGAGAGTGATGACAGCTGGCTTCCTGCAAGAATCAGTGTTGAACAAGTGGGCAGCAGCATCCCCTGCCAGCTGAAATATCCCTGGCATTATGGTGCAGCCCCCATATAGCACACTGAATTAATTGAGCCTTAAGCTGRCAAAGCCATGGAACATGATGAGATAACTGCATCTGCAAGAAAAGGTTAAATACACAAAGTAAGGAAATGCAGCTTTATAGTCCAGCTGTGGGCCACTGTGCCCATCTAATTACAAAAAAAATAGTGAAATACCCAGAATATTTCTGAACAGTGTATCAGAATCACAAAAAGCATGTACATTTCCCCAGTTAAAACAGTRATTTACACCTCAGCCATTTGCCTCYCACCCTGATTTATCCATKTATTTTTGTCTTTAGTTGAACTGAGTTGCTTAGAATACGAAACCCAAAGACTGAAGCCTCTCTGGAGGCTGGTTTCCTGGTACAGCATTTGAGTTGAAGGCATCCTTGGATGACTGTGAAAAGCAAATAGAAAGTTAATTTATTATTGAACTTTCACTTGCAGGAGGTCGAAAGAGAAATTTCATTCAGAACAGAATGTGGACTTTATTATTCCTACTACAAACAGATGATTCAGGCTGCTTCCATACAGCAAGGTATTGTAAACTGTAMAGTAAGTTTTGCCAGCTGATGATTTTTAGGTTTGACTGGGGTTTTTTTCAAATATAATTGAGAACAAGGCATACCATTACAATGAAAGATAGTGTAACAATTGTACTGGAGACAGATTTATTCTGTTCATATGCCAGGGAGCCACTAAGTTATGGACATCATAAATTTCACAATGATGCATTGGCTTCCGTGCCACACCTTCACATGCTGATGAAGGCAATCACTTTGAGGGACAACTTTCATATCTGTTAAAGTTCCAGCTTGCTGGTTCATTAAGTTTATTACTTTCATTTTTACTCTTCTCTTGTTAATTTGAGCTATGAGCTGTTTGTGGGAAGGGGCAATGTTTTTTTGCTATATTTCTGGACAGTAAGTGACATAAGGAGCAGCTTCCAAGGAAATCATATACAGTGATGGGGCTTTCTGTGATAGTCTCATGTTTTCTAGATATTTAATTAGTGCTCCTAGAAATTTTGCTTATATGACACATTTTTCAATATGAACTTCACCTGTGATCAAAGTAGTGCGAAGAACAGTTCTCAGGATCCAGAATGTACCACAGATTCTATGCTGGGGATGGAAGTATAAAAATAAATGTTTTATACACTACTAAATATATAGTACTTGAATTAGCACTGTGAGTCACATTTGAAGCAGGGAAACTGAAGACCTCAGAAGGTCATGTTGATTCAGAGGTAATGTGTTCTGAATCGTTGACTCAAAGTTTGCAGTTTCTGATGAGAGATCCTAAAATACCTTTGAAAAGTTATTCACTGTTCAAATGAAGATGGAGGGGGAAAATGACAATCTCCTATTTCAATTTCTCTTTATCATTAAGGTTTACATGGTTTAGTATATGACAATAAAACTGAATCTGTGAGGACAATTAACATACTTGAAAGAATGAATGTTTACCAGGAGGTGTTTCTCAGCATTCTGTATAGGATTCTTCCAATTCAGGTAGGCATTTATTTATGGCTTTAGATTGTAAGTGCATTATGAAGATTGCGCAGTGAATCATAGCTCCCCTTTGTAGATATTTTCTAATTAGAAATATTCCTGTTACCTTTTTAATTTGTAAAAGCCAAACCTAATTCATACTGAGTATAATCCCCCCATGAGTGTTTTAATGTCAACATCAGTATTCTTGTGTTTTACAGCAATACCTAGAGCCTGTTTATTTTTATATCTACACTTTGTTTGGACTTCAGGCAGTTTATGTCATTGCTCTGTATGTAACAAGCTGGCTTCTTAGTGGAACATGGCTTTCAGGGTTGTTGGCAGCTTGCTGGTATATTACAAACAGGTAAGTGAGATTAAACATTCAATCTTTCTAAAATTGTACCTAGTTTCAAAGGTAGGGCATTAAACCTCCAACTGCATGATTAATTATACAAAACATGAAACTACAAGGCCTCCCTCCAGTTAGCCAGAAAATGGAAAAAAAAATGTTTAAATAACACAAAATAATTACAAAATAATTATAAAATAATCAGAAATGAAAGGTTCATGAAGTTTGAGTAGAAAATTATGTCTTAAACTGGTCTCTGAAAGGGGTCTACATCTTTCAGATGTGTCTGGAGCTCCAGATGATGTACCCTAGCCTTGGATCTCTCAGGTGTTAAAGACATGTGCAATATAAGCCCTTCAGGTGCCTCCTCAGTGCCCCACACCTCACCTCCAGGGGTTCCATCTAAAAGCCTCAGCTCATCAGAAGTCCAGCTCCTCTCTTCCCTTGTTCCTGTAAATATCTCCTGCACTAAGCCTCAGAGGAAAGAGGTGGTAATTGAGCTGTTCTASTGCTTTATCACTTGAAGAATTATCAATTTGGAGATAAAAACCTAAGAACTGGCTTTATGCCAGAAATAAGCTGCTGGCATGAAGCAAAGACTGGTGACATAGGCTGTTATCTGTAAATTAATCAAGAAAATAAAAGTGCAGTCTTGGTTCTACCAGAAATGTTTGATATGTTAATGAGCAGCTCTAAAGGAATTTATCTGCAAGCACATCCACTACAGAATAATTATAGGTGTATGGAGGCAAGATGTTTCTTTCTTCAAGAACAAAAGTAATTAAAAGCCACATGCAATGTACACTATTTCACACATTTCTTTCACAAGGYCATCTCCTCCATTTATAGAATATTTGGAGCAAATTTGTCCATCTTTCTAATAATTAATGAACAATGAGAGCTTGTTCTCCTTTATGCAAACACAATAAATGCATGGAATGGATTTGGATGAAGACTTTCTGTCCAGATGAAGTACACTGGAGGCTACTGAGTAACTCCATTTACACACTTGTTTCCTCCAGCTAAGCATGTCTCAGATATGTTGCTTACTTTCTTTTTTAGCAAACATTTTCTCTACACCAGGAAAAAGAGAAYTGTTTTTTAACTTGTAGTTCAGATTTTCTAAATGACTGTTCTTTGGGGAATTTTTCCATCGCATACTTTTATGTTCAAGAGCTTCAGAAAATGACCAAAATTACCAATTCAGCTGTGTTCAAACTCAGGGCATTGGAYCACAGTGAAGATTATATTTTGTTTATATTCTTACATGTGCATTTGCAAACCAAAAAATAAGTAAAATGAGCTGTGGTGAAAATCCACAAGCTGGATTTTGGGGGTGCGTTGAGTTTGGGGTTTATTTTTTCAATTACCCAAGCTGTGCTACATAAGTAAGAAGTAATCCACAGTATATTTTTTTTTACAGTAAGTGAAGCTGAAGTACATCATTTGAGATGCAGAAAAAATGGATAACTTGCAGAAGCTTCGTAGTGATTTTTTTTTTTTTTTCAGAGCCAGGTGTGTTGAAGGAACTGGAGTGTAGAGCCTCCATTTTTATAAATAAGGAGTTAAAATAGCACAAAGATGCCTGTCATTGCAAGCTGTGTGTCACCAAGTGTTGTCTTTATTTTAAATTTGTGAAACTCTTTGTTTTGTACAGAGTAGATACCACAAGGGTAGAATTCACCATTCCTTTAAGAGAGAACTGGGCCCTGCCATTCTTTGCTGTTCAGATAGCAGCCATCACATACCTCCTCAGAACTCATTTACAGCCTGTGCAAGAAGTGAGTATTTCTCACAAGTACAACACAAATAAATTAGTAACAGAAAACTGTCCTGATCTGCAAGAATTAAATGGGTGATACAGTTTCTTTGACAATCAGTTCTTTAGTTACTACTCCTCRGTTTGATCAAGTAACTGCTATTTATGGCACAGTAAAACACATATTGCTTGTTAATCTGAGGGCTGAAACTATCTGAGATCTCACTTTTTTCTTGCAAGTGGTATTAGAGTGATAAAATACAGGCATAAATCAAGAATTTGTAACTATAAAGTGTTATCCTCCAAGCTGTTATTGCAGTTAGAAAACTCAATGTTTTAAAAGTGGATTTAAAATAACCAAATTAAAGTGGGGTTTGGTTGTATTTGTTGGGGTTTCTTTTTGCTTGACTGTGTGTTTTTAACAAAGGAAACTATGAAGTTCAATAAAACTKTGTTCCCTCCTTCCAGAGACTCACACTTATGGTTGTATTCATAGCAACGTTTCTCTTCAGCCTGACTTGGCAATTTAACCAGTTTATGTTGTTGATACAAGCATTGGCATTATTCATACTGGACTSCTTGGACATGCTTCCCACAGCAAAGGTAACTTTCTGTTTGGAAGTAACCAACTTCTGTTTCTTTGCCTTCATAAAGCCAACAGTTTTGAAGACATTTTCCTAACCAGTGGCATGGATGCCCAGAATAATACAGATTATACAGTGTGCTTTGAAGTAATCACAGTATATATCCTGCAAGTGTAAAAATGAATGAGCAAAACGACACCCTTTCTGGTTTTTTTTCACTTTATGTAGTTTACGTCTATTTAATGTGTGTCTACTTTTGCTTAGACACTATTTGACACTTTCAAACACCATCCTAACAGTTGCCCTGATATCACAGCTATTGCGTGGCCTCTCAAAGTCACCAGAAGAAAAAGTACCACAAGAAATCTTTGTGTAAGCTGAAGTCTTAGCAGTGCTGAATTTTGCCTCAAGCATTGTGCATCCTTGTTTGCCAGTCAGGGGCAAGCTCTGYAGCACAAGGAGGGGGAAGCAGAGCACCAGGTTGCTGGGGAGAAGCAGCTGTCTTGCCTACACTGACATTCRCCACGAAACAACAGCATTGCCCCTGCTGTGTTGCTGAGCTGGATAAGCCAAAAAATGAAACAAGTCTTACTAAGAAGGTCAGGGATCACTGACAGTCAGTCTTACAAAACAGAAATGTACTGTAGATGAAAACTCTATCTTTGACATTAATGTTGCTGTGAAGTTCTACACATTTAGATCATTTTAGCCCTGGTAAAAGCTTGCATGGGTTGGAAAAGGTTCTAACTTTAAGAAGGGTTACAGCAGGATGAAGAGTAAATCATGTAAATTCATTTTAAATTTGAAGCAGTCTGAACTTAACTGATTGTATTAATTTAGCTGAAAATTAGTATAGTGGCTGCATATCAAGATAAATGTGGCTTATTTAAATTTCTGAACTCAGCAACGGCAAACTGAAGTCAACATTTCATGTGACTGGTTCGCTACCTTAAAAGCTGGCAAATTACCAGCTTGATCCTGAATGACACCAAAACAGACTTACCCACACCACTCTTACACTATACTATTATTTTTAAGTGCTACTTAAAACTGTTGGAGCTTATTGGGCACTTTGGTACTGATTTACACCACTGCTGTAATACAAGACTGAACTCAGGGTATTTGTGTGAGGTAAAATGTATGTTTTGGTACCATTGTGTCAGAAAACCAGCTGGTATTTACACTAATAATGAACACTGAACACTCATAATAGTTTAGCGTAACMTGAAAGGGATTATACTGAACTATTACTGAAAAGTTTGAGAAGGCAGGTGATGYTTCATTGCTGGACTGCACTGACCCAGAACTCTTTAGTCATAAAGACATCACAGAGGTTAAAGAAACACTTCCTGGACTAAAGAAAATAAAAACATCTTCCAAATATTAAGTAGTTAATATTTTCCTCACACTGCGATTATATAATTTTCCTGCTTGATTACAAGATCACATTTCCTTAGGTATAAAATGTTCATAAAATATTAACTAAGTAGCTCTGGATATAAATATAAAAAGGTTATAGTCATGGCTTTAAATGTAAGGATTTACTGCAAGATGATTGATTCTTTGCAAAAATAATTTATATTATTATAAAATTATTAAAATTATAAASCATATTCAGAGAAAATCAGCTGTGACTGTAAAGTTTGGTAGACATAAAAATCTCATTATTGTTACAGGTTACATGGCTCTATATCATTCAGCTTTCTGGATTACTACTGGTCTGTGTCCTACAGTTCTTTAATTCTATGATTCTTGGATCCTTAATTATAAGTTTTAATGTTTCTGTCCTAATAGCAAGAACAATCCAGGTMGGTACCAAAATATTTCTGTAGTACTAAATAAAGAATATTTATATATGTGTGTATGTGTGTAAATGAGTAATTTATATGCATTATAATTTTAATTTACCAATACTAATTAGAGGAATTACTATAGCATAAAGCAACCCAAACATTGCTTGATCAATTAATGAATTCCATTACACTAACTGCAGCTTAACCAAGCACATCAGACATCCTAATTCTATGACTGCTATTAACTTTAATGATTGTGCAAGCTGCAGTTTGGATCCTGAAAAAAAAATTGCATAAATGGACTTTACACCTGTTTCAGCAGAATTTGGCTTGAATTTATGGATCTGCCTCCAACAAAATAATCTGTAACAGCTAGGCTCATGTTGAGTTCAGCTTCCTGAAATTCAGTGTTTTTTCAAAGATTAGGGTTTTTTTACTGTAGTTACAGTTCCCTTTTTTCTCACACTGGCATTGCTGACAGCCTTTGACTACAATAAAGGAGTTTGCAGGGCTATTCCTGTTGTCTGCATTTATTCGCAGTTGCCTGTGAGCAGTTCCTTTTGATCTGGGGTTTGTACCTGGAAAATTGCWCAAAATCCTATCAACTGACAGAGCCAGAAGATACTTTTGCTGTGTTTAGGTGGAAGGTGTAATGAGTAGGCATTTCAAAAGGCTCACATATTATGGAAATTAAGGGARTAGGCTCTATAAATGTAATAGGGAACTGCCAAAGGAAGGCTGTTTGGCTGCATCCAAAACTGCCAGATCAAAGCTTTCATGATKTTGTCCCTTCAGTTTTGTGCAAGAAATGTATCTTTATTCTGRGTACTTGGTTCTGTATCCTTTTTTKSYT